ATATATATATATATATAATATAAAATACAATTGTAATATTAAAATAATGCATGAAAATGATCCTTTATTTCGTAACCTATATGAAACTATACTTTGTTCATAAAGTTCTCGCTCTAGAATAAATAAGTATCTGCCGTTTATGTTTAAAACACGTCTAACATCTCATTCAAACGACAAAAAATTATGGAGTATTGGAGAAAATTGCCATTTATTAGCGAAGGCGAAGCGTGTGATTTATAAGACGCACGATGATTATATCCGCATGTTTCGCGTAAAACGGAACAGAAATATTTCTCGCGTGCTCCGAAGCAATATGTACATTATTTATGAAAGTATTTATCCACGATTCAATGCTCCTTTTAATGTAAACCTGTCCTCAAATAAAGCTAGAAAATCATGTCAGAAGAATCAAATTATCTAAAACAATTTATCAAACTATACAATCGCGGTTGTTAAGTTTAAGTAATATATTAATTGAAAAGTGCGAACATGTAATAAAATCATTGTATTTTTAATTTATATAATAAACTTCAAATTTTGATAAAACTATAAATAAGAAATTAAATGGTGGAAAGATAAAATGCGCGAAAATGTTTCAATCTGTGCAACAAATACCAAATAAATTCATTTTTATTTTTTATTATCTTTTTCTATTCTATTTAATCTATTTAATCTATTTTATTCTATTTAATCTTTTTCTATTTTCTATTTAATTCTTAAACTAATAATTTTTACTCTTCCGTACTTAATGCTTATATTTCATATCTTTTTTTTAAATTGCATTTTTTTTAATTGCGTATATTTGATATCATTTTGTGTGGTATCAAAAATTATTATTCGATTAATGATCGTTTAAGATATATTAGATCTCGTTCATATTTGACATAAAAAAAGATATTCGTCCGGTGATTCGATAGCACTTTGATAATCTCGCTTAATATCACTAGAGTAATCAGTTTATTACAGCATCGATATATGGGCGAGTTGGCGCCAACTTGGCGTTCACTCTCGTACGACGCAAGTAACATAATACCAAAACTATATAAAACCACTACGATATCATGTATTATGAACAACATTCAATATATTAAACAATTATTAATCGAAGTAAATTGATTGAAAATTATCAATTAAAATAATTAGTCGAAATTCTTTGAGATTCTTGAAAAAAAAATGTTATTGTTATCACACGCTGCCTTTAAGCTTCTAACGATAATAACGTTAAATAGGCGGATGGCACCTTCTTCGCGAGGTGGTTACCTTCATAACTTTGCATAGCAAATGCATGAGATAAGATTATTATTCCGCAAAGGTTATCAACGACGGAGGAAGTTTGTCGACGAAAGCAAACATCATATGCAACTTAATGCCAGAGTGTTTGTCAGTAGTGCATAAAAGAACTGCAAAAATTGGCTGTGTTTCTCTATAATTCCCTAATTTTCTTCCATGATTTTAAAAATAATTTATTTTTTAAAGTATTGCAAGGAGAAAAAATATTCTAATTATTACCAAAATATGTTAAACTTAAATTTTGCATAAAATGCGTAGAAAATAATTTTACTTTAACATTATATCAATAAACATTTTTACTTTAATTTTTCACTTCTATTTCTTTAAATATGACACAATAATATCGTTTTATTTGTATTTCGTAAATATCTATTTTTCCTATTCATCTTTAAATTTCTGCTTTTATATAAATCCATTTTTAGACACACATATATATACTACGATAGATATTTTGCAAGAAAATTTGATGCAAAATTGATGTCACGTTTTTAGCGCTTTCACCCACGCGATCGCTATCCAATAACCACACAAATGTATCGTATACTGAGTGGTACTCGTCTATCGTCCATCGTATAATTTAGTAATGACGGTTTTTACGACGCGTTATATGCCCATCCCAAACGATTCATTCATTCCATCGAAAAAAAGATGCATGATAACTGCTATCATCGCGTTATTTAGATAAAATGTACACATATGTAAAGTACCCCTAGACTATTTCTGAACATTATTATTATACATACATACTTAACACTCAATAGCAAAAGATAGAAATTGAACTGCCTCGTGCAAAAATACATATGTAGATGTACGCACACATGCGTAAATAAGCAATTTCCTTCAAGGAGAATAATTATCAATAACTGTTTTGAATGATTATACGTCTGTGTCTCACATAAAGTATTCATTGTTTCTTGTAAAAAAATTATTATACTATATATTACTATGAATGTAATTAATTCTTTTTTATCTCTCAGCTTTATTCTAGATCTAAAAGAGAAAAGATCTAATGAAAAGACGTTGATTAATATAACCCGACCGAGTATTCATCATGAATTAATCTGACATTTCATTTCCTTTTGCTGTATTCAATTTAAGCGCGGAGGACCGCGTGTAATTTATGAAATTGTGGATCATATGTTATATGTCAATGTACGTCAAAGGAACATGCAAACAAGTTTCTGTCTCTTTTTCTTTTTCTCTTTCTTTCTCTCTGAGAAACAAATTATTTTCGGGCGCTCTAAATTCCGAAATAATTTATTCTAGACTAATTATACACAAAATCGCGCGATTGCAACTCTCTCCTTCATCTGTCCGTTGCAACTGCATCTCGTAAACGCGATAATAGATAGGCAACTTCAAAGACGCGCATAGACACAAGCGATTGCGCATTCATATTCATGAGTGAGGTGCACAATATACAAGAGTACCTCGTCCCACTTCTTCTCTTCAGCGAACATCGGTTTGTGGAAAGAACTCGCTCGAAAGTTCAGAGATATAACAAATGTAAGATAAAAAGAGAGAGGGACACTAATAATGTGTAGAATGTAACATTTAACAAAATGTATGCACAGTATATGTAGAGTAAAATTATAGTGACAATTATAAAAAAAAATATATTTAATATAATATATTTAAATGTGATTATATAATTAAATATATATATATAATTCTTTAAATCTGAAAATCATTCTTTTCAAAAACTGAATCTTTAAGCAAAGATACTTGTTACAAGATGTAAAGATAATTTCCATGTTTTAATATAAAAGTCCAATATTAATCATATAATTAGGGAATATTTTCTTGGATAAAGTTAAAAAAAACCGTAAAGTGATAAAAAAATAAAATAAATTTTTATCATTAACATTTTATACGCATTTGTCGAGCAAACTATATTTTACATTTTATGATAAAATAATAATAATATTATAAATAAAATACATCATTATTATAATATTATATTATTATAAAGAGAGCAATGTTATTATGTAACACATTATTAAACACATTTTTTAAATTGTGTAGCGATTATTTCCAACACGTTTTAAATCCTTATGTTAAATATTAAAAAAAAAATACTTGAAAAAAAACTGAAGAAATACAATAAATATATAATATTAATTAGAAGGAAGTTTGGAAAAAAAACTCTCCGTGATTAAAAGAACAAGTGACATCGCAGCATGGCATGTCTAAAAAAATGCGGTATTTTTTGCAAAAATTGGATTAACGTTTATAAATCATATCTCAAATAAAACAAACAAGTTTTAAAATCCTACTCTTCAAATATTTTCCCAGCGAATAGGAGCGAGCACACATGAGACGTGTGATTAACGTATTCTCTCTTGTGGCAATATTGCAACTATGATGGTAACGAAGTTCTACTTCGTGGCGTCGTGACCTTGAGCAATTGCAAACTCGCGACGATAAAACCCACGTAAATCAATCCAAATCATAATCGCGATTGATCTATTTGGCGATGTCAGAGTATTTTGATTGGAATTTTTGCGATATGCGCAAGGTTCGTTCTTGAAAGATTCTCGTGAGAAAAATGAATCGCCTCGCGCGAAGAATTGCGAGAGAGACCACGCAAAAGTATATAATTTATATGAACGATCCCGAGGGCGTTATGTCAATCTGACACGTAATAACCTTATCGAATGTATAACATCAAGACGTAATACATCGTCGCTATCTCCCTCCGGCAACGACACAGCGTCTCGATATAAATATATCGAATATAATCTCAATATCTCTACACATTTCGAAAAATTGCATTCCTCTGACCTTTATATTTTGTTGTTATATTTAATTTATTTATATATTTATTAATTAATATTTATTTATATATTTGATTATTTATTTATGATGATTTTCTTGACAACAATATAATATATCGATATGAGATATAATATACATATATTATCAGTTAATTTCAAATGCAGATTCAGTTTTCTCCTCTCCCTTAATTTTGTTTTTATATATATTTAATGTAAAGTGTGAAAATTTAAGTCTATGAAAAGATAGATCTTCTAATCTATCATGGCAATTTTCAATATATGTCAATTTATAATCCGACATTCGATGATGCATAGAAACGCATTTGCCGAAGGATAAAAATCAAGATTTATTCATTTTATTTATACGTATCAAATATGGAAAATACTTCAAGCGGAAAAAAGGAAGTCAAGAAGTGTAGAGCGAGTGCAATTAAAGAGCGAGTGTGTACACACAGATATCGCGAGTTATCGAATGCGCGCGCTTCGATCGCTTCGCGTGCGCAACGTCGCACAATACGCGTACTTCACGTCGTGCCCGAAATTTGCGTCCGGCCAAAAATCGCGAGGCGACAATTCGCCGTTGATCCGCCCCAGCTTCAGACATCGAGATCACGTAGCCATAATACGAACCGAGAATAGCCGAATGAACTGTTTATTGCGAACACAAATGTTTATTGCGCGAACGAAACACGTGCTCCGAATCGCGAATAGCGCATATCCGAAAGATATTCAGAGGATATCCAGAGGACATTTAAACATCCTCAGGATGTTCTCTGAACGTCTTCGAAATATGTGCTGTTAGGGATCTCTATATCTACTCTGCTTCTTCTCGCGATAGTTTCAACAAAAATATGCACCAACTCTAAACAGTCCGATTTTTTAAAAAACAGCGTCCCTCTCGCGCTGTCAAAAATAAAATTTGCAAATTCTTACCTTCAGTTCCCCCGAATTCCGGTGCGGTCCGCACTCGCGCACTCGCACGCACTTATCTCCTCGTAATCCACTACTGATCCTCCTTCGTCGGCCGCCGGCGCGCGACTGTGGATAATTCGCGGTCGCGACCGGCCTAGATATATACCGGCTATATTTAGCCCGCGCCGTCACCGCGCCGCGCGCCGATTGGCCGGCAGTGACGTAGCACGCGTTCGCGATTGGTCCTCGCGAATCTCTGCGAATACGCGCCGGCGGACTTCGTCGCGCGACTGTATGCTGGCTCGGCTGGGCGCGACTCCACGTCCGCGACATTTGTTGACATGAAACTGTCAGGGAGAGTACGCTCTCCGCTCCCTCGCCGCACTACGCACCCGGTATATTCAATCCGTGTGCGTGTCGCGTTTCTTAGGCACTCCTAGAGCACTCGATATACTGCCAGAAATGTTGGTCTCCTGTCGACACAAAAGTTTTTTTTTAATTAAAAGTTGGTTGCTTGAAAAGAAAGAGGAAATACGGAAAGAAAATATTAATTATAACCTCTCTGATCGGCGCATATTAAAACTCGAGTTTATAAAAGATAACTTTATGATTGATAAAGTTGTAATTATACCTTCACAAATTTTGAAATAATGGAGGCAATCGTGTCGCACAGTAAAATTAAACAACAATTAAATATATACAGTACTAAATATTTTAAAATATCGAATAACTACGCAATAAAAATTGACTCTCCGTCGATGTCTTTTAAATGTGCGTGAATACAGGCGCGATTGAAACTGCTCTAGATGTCGATATCTTCATATTGGTTTCGAGATACCAACTTATAAAAATCAAGTAAACTAATATTACCAAATAAACCAATATTGCCAATATTATAAATTAAGAAATTTATGTTGAATACATTTTGAATTTTCTCATTAAAACATAAAGGCGCGTATACAAATAAATAAATAGAAAATGTTCTAAAATATTTTGCGTGATAAAATAAATGTCTAACACAAATATTTTAGCAACATTTTATAGAATTAAAAAAATAGAATGGTAGAATATAGACAAAAAATACTGTACTACCTAATTTTTTGAAAAAAAAATCATGTTTTTTTTTATAAAAGAAATAAAACGAAACCTGATGAAACTTGATTAAAGATTCTTCTACTAATTAATCATTTTTGTCAATATAAAAAATCGGTGTTCTTTGATCGCGATTACCTGCAATATTTCGTCTTTTTATTAAACGAACTATCCCTATATGTATAGCTGATTTTTCTGATGATCGCGATGGAGAGATTCGAGTCGAGGTTCAAATTGGATCCACCATCGATCACACGAACAACAGATTTAACTGGTGCGATCGGGTCAGGTAGGTGGGTGAGTTTTATGGCGAATAGAAGCGCGGTAATGAACGATCATTATTACACCGCGGCTTACCGCGTCTATTAATTTACTCGCGCTAGGCTTTCTCGAAAAGCCTTGAAAGGTATTGCTTTGCTCGGTGTCCTGCCCTACTCGCTGTTACTCTATGACTATGAAATCATGCCGTTTCCCGGCAATATTGCATTATAAAATCGTACGCTAAAATTAGTCACAGACGATTATTGCGCATGCCGACATATAAAACGAGCCACGCCGGGTTGAACAGTGGCGGAGATTTAAAATCGATAAATGATGTCTGGAGTCTGGAGTTTCATTCCTATTTATTCCTATTTCTAAAATAATTAATTTGAAATCACAAAATAAACCGCAATGTTTCTCGCAAATTGCATATAATTGTATTTAAATAAAATCTTTATTTTTAATATATATATATAATCTTTGCAAGAATAAGAATTTGATAAATATAATATAAATTTGTAATAACTATGAATAATAAATTTCGCAATAAAATATTAATAAATTTTGATATGATTATTTTTCGCTTATTAAAGGAATTATTTTAATTTTAAACAAACTTACGAAATTTGGTGACTCAGACTCTGATAAAGTCTTCGAAACTTTTTAGATACGCCACTGCGAAAAAAACTGCCGCACTTTCCCGATGCGATCTCCTCTGGATGAAGATATGCAAAGTATATTGAGTAATAATGCTGGGTGGCGCATGGTTTACGTGTGTCTATCTGTCATCGGGTACGTTTTTCCGCTCTTAGTCAGACCATATGTCGATATGCTCCATCACACAAATTATAATAACACATGATCTAACAATCAAATTATCTTCCTATGAAACAGCAATATAATAAAGTTCTCTGCAAATATTAATAAAGTTATGTGATAAAGTTAAGTTTCTCCCCTTAAATATATATTCGACATATTTTGCATTATTACTCTGTTACAATTTAAAGTTAAAATGATTTTTTTACGCTTGCTTTTACAATTAATTTTTACAGTAATTATATTTTCTATAATTTTCCATGCAATACACTTACATCTATATAGAATATTTAATAATATTATTATATAAAATTGTTACTATTTTATATTAAACGTCATATATATATATATATATATATATATATATATGTGTGATTGATTAATATGCATATTTTCTTTGCATAATCTTTATGATTGTTTATATATTTGTTAACCTCTTCTCGTACCTCTCGTACTGACGTGAACCATGAACATGGCGTTTGAAATTATAGAGATTTTTTGGCGCAAAATTTAGTCGCAGGCGCCATCTCGCGTGACGTGAAGGAAAAGCGCAGAAAACATGGCGGCCTGCAAGGTTGTAGGGAGATGTTTCGGGACAGTTTCAAATATTATAAAAGTCGAAATCCCGCACCCGATTTCGGCGATGTAATCGATCTTGAAAATCCGGATCATGTTAAAGTACGTAAATAATGCGATTGACATATACTTTCGAAGATTAATTGCACGTGTTATTTTAGGTTAGGAAGATAGAGGCAATCGTAGGTGATAAGCAGACCGAGAATAATTTCGGTCTGACATCGGCGGATAAATGGACGATTTACGAGTTGCTAGATATTCCTGGTGCGTAAAATTACACTAAAAATTATGTTATAAAAATAGATATGTGCATAATAGTGTTTCATGAAATATCAGTAATTTTAATTCTTGATTAAGATCTCCTGAGTACAATGTTGTCTTTTTTTATAAAATATAAATATTTTATATTTTTATTATTCTTATACTTTTCTTGTTATTTTCAGGACTTATCTTTATTCAGAATCCATTTACACCAAACGGTCAACGATATTGGATCACAAAATGTTTGAAAGATTATTCTAAGGAACCGTACAAGTTAAATATAGATGCTCATAATATTTTAACTAATGAAACATGGTGGGAGATTTGTTTTCAGTAAGAGAACAATTATAGAATTAAATTTTTAATAGTAGTAATTATAGAATTAAATTTAATCAATAGTAATAACTTTTACTAATTAATTTATCATTAATATATTTATATCGATGTTTAATTAATTTGTTGTCAGAGAGTCAGAAAGAGCCAAAATTCTACTACCTAAATTACGATGGGCAACATTGGGATATCATCATAATTGGGACACAAAATTATACTCTGAAGACTCCAAAAGTGACATGCCAATGGAATTATCCAGTCTAACATCCATTTTGGCAAAATCATTAAGTTTCTTGGATTTTAAAGCAGAAGCAGCAATTGTGAATTACTATCGGATGAACTCAACATTGGCAGGGCACACGGATCATTCAGAGATGAACGTAGCAGCGCCACTTTTCTCTATAAGTTTTGGACAGACAGCAATTTTTCTGATTGGAGGACCGAAACAAGAAGATCCAGCTAATGCGATTTTTCTGCGGAGTGGAGATGTAGTGATAATGTCGGGAAGCTCTCGTCTGAGATATCACGGAGTGCCAAAGATTTTATCGGCTTCCAAAACACCGTGGGATGATAATTGCGAGGACAATATATGCGAAACTTTTTCGTATAATTATGACGATTGGCGCAAAGCGCGAACTTACATCGCCGAGGCTCGAATTAATATGAATGTACGACAAGTTCTGGGACCTGGACAAATTGTATTATATTAAATCACGTTGTATTTTTGTACAGAAATATTAAAAATATTTATTTTATCAAAATGTTAGAGGTCTCTGCTTTATTCATATATCGTTTTGTGTATTGTAATGAGATTATGTATATATTAAGTTATATACAATTTAAGATTGTCAAATTACATTGCATTTTACAAACATCTCTTTTAATTGTATTTCAATTAAAAATCTCTTAATTTTATTTCATATTAAATTTTCAATTTATATACAATACATATATATTATACAATAGGAGTTATGTATATTTAAATAAGAGTTATATGTATATCTAAATTTATTTATACGTGTTATATATTTATTATTTAATTTAATTAAGTTCTATTAATTTTATTATTTCTCATTTCTTCGATAATTATTGCATGATCATTTCGATGAGCTTCAATCACATTTTTTTATATCGCGCGCCATTGAAGAGACGCAACAGTCACGACTTCCGGTCTCACGAGTCAGCTTGAGTCAGCTGATCAATCCCATTCCTGTTCGTTGCTGCACAGTAGTTGAGAGAATGTCAGGCAAAGATAAACTACCAATTTTCCCCTCTAGGGGGTAAGTATTTTATTTTATCGAATTAATTTTCACAAAAATTCTACAATTTCATTCATATATCGTGTATCACTATTTTTTTCTCAAATAAGATTCTACTTTAAAACGTACTAGAACATTGGGTGTAACCCCGTCTTCAATTGTTAAGAAGACTTGAATTTTTATTTAAACAATTTGATTATCTTTTATTTTACACTATTTTACACGTTGCTTTATACATAAAAAAGTATTATAATCACAAATTTATTCATTGCATATTTTAACAAGACAGATATTTGTCTGAGTATGCGAATGTATATTTTCAATCTGTTCTATTTTATAAAATGCTTCTTTTTATGCATAAAAATTTAATTGGCAAAAATATTTCTTATACAACATATTTAATAAGATGGTGAAATATTTACAAAAATAATATTTAGTAACAATATTTAATATATTTCAAGTATATAACAACAGTGCATTTTAATATAATAATAATGTGTTTATTAAATTTGTGTATAATACATTGTTATTAAATTGCAACTATATATATATATATATATATATATTCAGGGCCCAAATGTTGATGAAATCTCGCTTACAAGGAGCGCAAAAAGGACATGGATTATTAAAGAAAAAAGCTGATGCATTGCAAATGCGTTTCAGAATGATTTTGGGAAAAATTATAGAGGTATAAAATTAATTTTGTTATTAATTTTATCTTTTTATTATTTTACTGTATTAGTATTTCTCTATCTTCGTATTCTTTTATTTTTATTTTATTTTATTCTATTATAATTTCTCTTGTAACTTTTTCTACATAATTATTATATTATTTATTTATTATATATTATTTATATTCATTATCTCTGCATCTTTGCTTTTAGACCAAAACTTTGATGGGCGAAGTGATGAAGGAGGCAGCCTTTCATTGGCAGAAGCAAAGTTTGCTACAGGAGACTTCAATCAAGTGGTTCTGCAGAATGTAACGAAGGCACAGATCAAAATTCGCTCTAAGAAAGATAATGTCGCTGGTGTAAATCTACCAATATTCGAATCCTATCAAGATGGAACAGATACATATGAATTAGCAGGTCTAGCGAGAGGTGGTCAGCAGTTGGCTAAATTAAAGAAGAACTATCAACGGGCAGTGAAATTGCTGGTGGAACTGGCGTCACTACAGACGAGTTTCGTTACTTTGGACGAAGTTATTAAGATCACGAATCGACGTGTTAATGCTATCGAACACGTTATCATTCCTCGAATTGAGAGAACTCTGGCCTATATTATTTCGGAGCTCGATGAACTTGAAAGAGAAGAGTTCTATCGACTGAAAAAGATTCAAGATAAGAAGAAAATCGCCAAGGCAAAGGTATGAATAATTAACTTATTCTTCGTCAATTTTAGTTATATTATCTAAACTCTCGCGGTTGTAGCTTGAAGCGGAAAGAGCAGAATTTATTGCAGCCGGGCACAGTATGGAGGCCACAAATCTGCTCGAGGAGAGCGACGATGATGTGCTGTTTTAAATACTGTAAATAATATGTTATAAGTAATTAAGATGTTAATAGCCTCCAGAAGATAAAAAAAATTTCTCTTCCCATTTAGCTTTTTATGATTTTGTTATGGCACAATGACAGTCTTAATTGTATATTTTGGAGAATGTCATTGGAAGCCTTTTTTCCTTATAATTTTGGGAAAGTAACTTTTTCAAACTTACTGTTTTTATCTTTTGAAAAATAAATTTTACAGAGAATATCACATGTAGCAATTTATAAAAAGTAGCAATTATATTAAATTATATATAATAGCAATGTTGTTAACTTTTAAAAAGTATTCCCAAATATTTTAATTCTTTATATTATGAAAAGTATTTTAATCATATATATATATCACAAGTTATTCCATCATCAATCGAATCACTTCTGATTTGATGGTGTAAGGAATTGTACAATTCACTTCTCTATATTGATTAGGGACATATGTAATAAATGTAGGTATGCATGTGGGGTGATTGGTTCGAATTGGATTCGAACCTGGGACTTTAGGTATATACTACTGTCTTACGCCTACTGGTCTACCATTTCACCCCAGTATGTAATAAATGTATGTATATATATTTCTTTCTGTATCATTTACATCTCCAATTATTATAACATATATATCTGCTTTATTCTTATTTTCTCTTTATCTCAAGTTCTCCAAAATTTCTAAAAAAAATACATAAAAAATTTTGTACAAGAGAAAACAGATAAATTATTGAAATGTAAATCTTGCTCACGTTTTATATTTCAATCAAACAATTTAATAAAATTTATTTTTTATCACAATTTGCAGGTGAAATTATTTAATAACACTAAAAAGTATTTCGGAAAATATTTTTAATATTAAATTATTTAATGCGAGAATTATTTTAATACTAAAAATTATATCCAAATGAAATTGAAATCAATAATTGAAAATTTTTATTAGAATTGAAATTTGCTATACACATTTACAAATAATCTTTATACATAATTGAATTCGATAAATGAAGAGCAATATAATTTCAGCAAAAATATAGAAAATAATTTAATAATATTTAATTTATAACAGAATTTTAATCGCAGGTGGTATGAGAAGACAGAAAGGAGAAAAGGAAGAGTATATAAGATTAAAATCCTCTCTTATTTTAATTGACATTTCATTAATGTCGTTAAATTAATTTACGAATTTTAACATGGAGCACAATCGACGTACAACTGACCCAGTGTATTCGTAAGTGAACTGGGTCGATCAATATTATATAGGAGGAGGGAAAAAGGGGTGGTTTTCCTATATGAGAGGTGACCACTCTTCTTCACTAAGGGGAGATGTTCGCCCAGCCGAACTCCCAGTATATATTTCCAGTGCGCGTTGGAAAATTCGTCGGAAACATGCCGTCATCTTCTGGGGAGGATTGCTTGACGGTTGTAGAGGTGCCGGAGAATCGCTACGACGAGGCAATTCACCACCTGAGATGGAATTTCTTCGCCGATGAGCCGCTCAACAATGCTGTAGGACTTTGCGCAAAAGGGGAATCCCAACATGAACTCGAGCAGCACTGTCTGCTCACCTTGAAGCAGGGTTATTCCAGGATGTTAGTGAATCAAAAGGGAGCGGTGAGCGACAGTTTTTCTTTATATCGCTTACAATTATTTTATTCATTACTTTTATATACGCAACTTTTATTCATTTTGAAAATAATGAGTTACTTATTGTAGTTCCATTTTAGTTTTGTTTATTTTTAATATCACGATGTCTTAATTATTAATAATTCGACATTTCTCATGTAATTAATAATATAATAATTATTTATAATTATGTGAAAATAGTTATAATTATATTCTCTATTTTTCATAAATATTTTTTACACAATATATTTCTTTTCATAGATACCTATATTAAGTCTTTATTTTTATTTTCGATTATTTATTTATTGATAAATTGTAATTTTTAAATCGAATAATCAATGGAACTTTCTATATAATTATTTTCTTTGTCTGTTGACATAACTATATATATATTCTTCATTTTCAATTACAATTTTTATTTTTATTTCTTAATTTATAAAACTTTCATTCATAATATCAAGTTATTTAATATCGTCACGTAGGATATTTGTATTATTATCAGAATTGTTTTATCAGATAGCGGGAATGGCACTAAATGGTACCCTGAAAAAAGGCGAGCGCGAGGAAGCAGAGCGACGTCTCGCCGAGCTAAATGACGAGAAATTCAAGACGATCTTCGGGCTGCTTTATAAGGTGAATGAAAAGGTCGATCTGTTCGCCAAGTACGACGTGGACGAGCTGTTCGAGTGTCGAATCCTTAGCGTCGATGAAAACTATCGTGGCAGAGGTTTGGCCAGCATCCTCATGGCCGACAGTTTAAAAATTGCCAAAGACGCTGGTTTCAAGGTAGATTCATTTATCCTATATATTTTTTAAAATTATTTCTATATGTTTATAATTTTAATATTAAATTGTAAACCTAATTTACTCTCTATACGTTTAATTTCTTTTGCATGTTTATTATATGTTAAACAATTATTCTTAACACTTTTTGCAAAAAAAATAAATATATAAAATATTTCTGCGGCATTTACGAAATTACGAAGTTCGGAAAAGATGTCTTTTTATCAAAGTAACGATATACATATATATTTGTGTAGTTATTTTATCGATTTTACATGTTATAACGAGATGGTATCATTTTTTATTTTTGTTTTATTAATTTAAGGTCGTCACGTTAGCGCAATCCCTGCTTTACATGTACACCGTACACTTTTTTCTTTTGTTTCAGCATGCTCTTCGGTTAATATGCATGGGATGATTTTCCTTTTCCACACAAGGTGTAATAATTGCAATGCATGTTATTCGTTTCTTTGAAAGGTACTTTTACACCCAATCCCTCGCACAGAAACAAAAAAGCAAGATTAATATAATAAATAATATACGATTCGGTTTGAATTAATAAAATATAATGAATAAAGCAACATCTGTACCATGTATGAAAAAAAATGAATTAAGAGTACGTATTTTGCTTTATTTATTATATAATCATATATAAAATTAATTGATAGTCAGTATTAACTATTATTGTTATTTCTTATACTGCTTGGTTTAACATTTTCAAGATAGATTGATTTATTAAATTGTTAATTCGCATTATTAGATTATACTAAAAATCATTACTATCAAATATAATTGGAAACGAGAGCTTATTGCACAGTTTCAAAGTGTTTTTATATTAAATCAACCATTATTAAATTGAATATATCTCTTCTATCTTTACAATTCTTTTTGAAAAAAGGACTCTAAATACTCAATTTTTATCCAAATAAAATTTAATAGAGAAATAAATATCTTTTGTACAAATTTAATATACATATTGCATTATCATATATTGTATGTTAATATATATTGTATTATTATAGCTATGTAAGGCTGATGCAACCGGGGTGTACTCACAGAGAGTCTGCCTGAAGCATGGTTTCCAAGTAGAAGCAGAGATCTCGTACGCGGAGTTGGATAAGTCAATCAGACCGGCGCCGCCTCATCAAGCATTAAAACTGATGGTGAAGCTGCTAGATTGAAGATAAAGAAAAAGAAAGTTGCTCTCTCGATATAGTTTAATTAAATTAAGTCATCAACACGAAAGCGCTTAAAGCGCTCAAAGTAGATATGTGTATCATCGTCGTGTCGTGACAATAACACAGCTCTGTTAATAATATGCATGTCTCAGTGTCGCGAATGCGAGACACGTGACGCTGTCTCATAGAATATTTTAATTGTTAGCAAATGAGAAAAGAACAAAAGTATCGCGTAGTATGTGTTGAAATGTTTTCAAATGGTACCCGGTATTACTGCCCTCTCCATACATACGTATATAAGAGGAGAAAAAAATATCTGATTTAATGCAATTAAAAAATTTGATATCGAGTCCGTTGAAAGTCTACGATTGTCTCGCAAATCGCACGGATTTTTCGTTACAATTCCGCCAACCGCTCCAATCAGGCGAAAAATCGGAGATATACGAAATATTTATAGAATCGTCGTATGTAGGATATTGAAAAGAGGGTAAAATATTTCAAGATTTAGTGTGTCCAAAAACAAGTCGAAAAGTCGTACTAAACATGGGTCCGCAAATAAACTATTTTTAAGATATTTTTATTTTCATAATCTTTTTATCATTTTTTATTATTTTATTCACATGAGTATAGATAAATGAAATTAAGTTATAAGTTAAATTATATGTGAGATATTGCAAATATCTCAAAAATAGCTCATTTGCGGACCCATGTTTATTAAGAGTTTTTAACTTATTTTAAGGCATACTAAATCCTCTTAAATTATTTTATCTTTTTTTCAACATCCTATGTATGGTTTAACTTACATATACCTAAACGTTTAACACATTGACTGTCATATGATCTATATGTATACGAGTAGAACGTACAATTTGTCGCACGATATAGATTTTATATTATTAATTCTTGTTATATTGTGTCGCGGGATGGCACATAAATATGACGCGACAGGATTCTCGGCAAATATAGCGTGACAGTCAAAGTATTAAAGCAAATACATCAATAAAATTAAATCTAATTTAAATAAAAATACATATATACAAAATAAGTCTTCTAAAGGTTTTCGTTGCTTTACAATATTGACGCCTTTAAGAAGACAAAACGTTTTTACATTATCGGTTCTATACCGGTGATATTACACGTGTATATTGTAATTATTTATTTTTTCGTAACTATTTTAAGGAAGAAGTTAAATTAAAAGATTAAAATATCTAAGAAGATATAAAGATATTTAAGAATTACAAAGAGGATATCAATAATCCCTTGTGTAGCAAAAGTACCGATCCGATAATAGAAAATAAGAAAGAAAAAGAAAGTCGCAAAGTGTCAAACGTTATCCCATCTTTGTCTCACGATTCGCTAAAGTCGCCGTGAGAAATGGTCCATGAGGTTACATAAGGTCTAGTTATATCTCTTCTTCCTCTCTTTCTCTCGTGCGTACTATAAACGAAATGCAATGGTACGAGTTGTTTTCTAACTTGTATATTTACTACATTCTATTGAAAGCGGCACAATTTTTTGTCGCAATTCAAAGTTGTTATTCTGGATTATAAGTGGGTCCATATAAATTTTAAACAAATTTATAGGAGAAGAGAGAAAATGAAAGATATTTTTATCGATGTCACGTTTTGCAAAAAAAAGTATATAAAATATATACGAGTTATTTTGTAAGTACGTACGCCAAATGCGAATTATAACACGATTTATAATGATTTGTATTGCGTAATAATATGTATCCTTTAAAGAAGATAATAAATTTCGATTTCGTAGGAATAAACATAATTTTATATACAAGCAATTAATATTGCCAAATTGAGTTTATTTGTTTTTGTATGCATACAATGATAAAATATCGAGTCTTCTTGTGCCCAAAATATATTGAGAAATTCTTCTCGAAAATTTTAATTCGTAGAACAGATCTGATATATAATTTTAAAAATCTGTTTACCTTTTTTCTTTTTTTTAAAGATAAAATATATTTTTGAAAACAAAAATAAATTAGCTAGAATTTCCATTAAATATCAGATATGTTCTAATAGTGCAAATGATTCTAAAAAAAGTTTGTTTGTCTTTTAAAGTGCTTTTGCAATTTGTTTTGCTTGAATTGCAGCTGCGTTGAATACTTAGTTTGAACTCTCTGCAAATATTGCACATCCCGAGCTCTCCTTCGGGAAGCTTCCACCTGCATATTCGCATCGCCAAGTGCTCTATATTGCATCATTAACTTGCGTATTTTCTCCTCGTTCGTCCTAGTCTTCGTGACCGGTTCAAGGCTCAGATTTTGCTTGTAATAGCGCATTAAGGCACGGTGACCTATCACCTTGCCGGACGGTAATTTCAATTCGTAACCCTCGACGCTCAGCTCCATTTTCGGTGGTTCCGAATCCGGATCGGCATCTTCAGCATCTGGATAGCTCAAGGAATAATCATAGAATTGCATATATTCGAGCAGCGTTTCCCCTTCGAACAACATCATGCAATGACCCTTATCAATCATGTGGGACCTCACTGCTTCCACGCTTTGCAATTGTCTACCTAAAAAATATATAAAAATTTTAGATATTTGATTTAAAACTAAACTTTTTATAATCAAAGATATTTTTAATATACATAATTTATTTCCTTTATCTTTCTTCCAATTTTATTTTTAAATTCAATTTAAAAAATATATAAAGTAAAAATACAGGAATGTACAAAGACATTTTTAACAATTTTGAAAACAGAAAATTCGATCAGTTTATTTTCTAGAAACCTCAATGATTGATTTGATTTTATTTCTAATAAATACATTTTTTATTATATATTAGATGCAGTCTAAAATGCATTAAAAAAAATTTCACTAAACAATATATAATATAAATTTTTATATTATTTATATAGTGCATAGTAACTTTATTTTTAAAACTAATTAATTTTTATATTTTACCTTATAATTGAAATTTAACTCTATTGTAAAATTTTTGCAATGTACAAAGCATAGTAAAAAAAAAAAAATCATTAAAAGAAATGAATAATTACCTGAGTCATTACACCAGATACATTTGTACTCGCTATATATTTTTTCTCCCAAATAAGTCAATAAGCCTCTTTTATCAATGCAATACTCAAGATCAGGCACAAAGAATGAATGTTTCACCATCATATGTTTTAAATTAAGTGTTAGAGATCTACTGTGATGGTCGCAAAACAAACAATCATTTCGTTCAATAGGATTTTCCAAGTCATCGAGCCACTCTTCCGAATCCAGAGACTCTATGTCCGAATCTGTATCCATTTTATTCTCCACATTTTTCAGATTTTTATTAACGTTATCTTTATTTTGCTCTTCCATTTTCTTATGATTCTTTGAGACCAAATGATTATTGTATTGTTTTACACTGCCAAACTTCTTTTGGCACAATATACACTTCTGAATTTTCTTTTCTTTCTCTTTGTTGTCTTTGTTGTTGCCGCTGCCTGTGCTATAAACTGTACTCCTTTTTGCGAACGTTTCAAGTGTAAGTGGAGATAATCCGCTCATCTTCCTATACAGATTATATCTGTGCCATTCAGATTTGTAATGTACCGAATGCGCATCTGAATCTTTGAATGTTATATGACATGTTGAACAAGTAAACATATTTGTTAAAGGTTCACATGTAAGATGAATATTTGTTATATTGTCATCCATTTTATTTTTCTCTGGAGTAATTCTCTTCTTAGTGTAGAATTAAAATCACAGTAACACTTTTCTATAACAGAAAAATATTATTGATTAAACATTTTAATATCTTTTTTGTTCCAGGTTTATTCAAATAAAAAGTACAATCTATAAGCAATAAATTTTTCTATTTCGATCTAATTTCATTGATTAATTCATTCGGCAGTGAAAAAAATATATGGACAGCAAACGAAGCGAGAAATCTTCGTTTCTTGCTACTTACATATAAAACACACGTGTTATTTTTAGGTTAATTACGTACGCGTTTCCATTTAAAAGTAATTAGTCTTACTAGGAATATTACAATTTTCTCCAATATTATACGATAATTAAAAATTTTCAACTCACAAAATATATACGATATTTAAGAAATAAAATGTAAAAATATTTGCAAAAAAAAGAAACAATCAAAACCACATGTCGCGAACAAAGAGAAAAATCTCGCTTTATTAATAAAAATGATTTGATAAAAAATAAACGCAGAGATAAATATTTTCCAATAATGTAATAACAGAAGAGAATGTAATTGTTTCTCGCTATATTAATTATCTTAAAAACCACGTGTCGCGAGCAAAGAAAACTCTCGCTTTACTAACAAAAATTAATATAAAATAAACGCACGGTGATTAAATGTATATTCAAATAATATAATAAAAGCAGAAAACGTAATTGTTTAAAGAGAATGTAATTGTTTCTTGGTATTATGTATAGTAAAACACGTCTTTGAGATTATGGTCGCCCAACGCAATCTCTACTTATTATTGAGATTTCTACGAAAATATTACGACTTTCTCCAATATTGCAATAATTTTTCAATTTTGATTTACCTAATATACGATATTTTAATAAATAAAACACAATCCTTGCGACGAAGAAGCAAATAATCTTCGAAGCCACGTGCACATACTTCTATTCTTCGGATTTATTCTACCTGCCTCACAGCCAACTCTCACATTAAGTCTAGTTCACAATTCGCAGCCATCAAAGCAGATTTCACAATCAAATATCGCTACACATTCACTATATATTTATAGACTCTATAAACTACCCCAAAGGCAAACCAAAAAGGCAAATAATAATGAAAATATCTACCGATAGAAAAAAGAAATATATGTTTATTTCTTTTTTCTATTGATAGATATTTCCTATTCCCTACTTCTATTTTTCGTTGCCTAGCATTGTGCAACAGCTTTTAACCATAGAAAAAGTAACTATATATATATATATATATATATATTAAAAACCTAATAATAATTGCAGACTGCATTAATATATTCTACAATGCATATAGAAAATTAATCAAATTAATTAGCTAAAAAAAATGAAGTCAAATTAATAAAAAATAAAATTAATTAAAAAATGTTTTTAAATTCAAATAAATTAAATAAATTAATTTTATTAAATTAATAAGTAAAGAAAAATAAAATCGAATAAATAAATGAAAAAATGTAAATTGAATTGAAAACTCCTTATCACCGCTCTGTTTTACCGAGCGAGTCGCTCGTTAGTACCGAATATCTCTACCGCGAAGTGGTGGCGCTCGCGAGCGCGCGACTGCGCTCACTTCGTGTTTGTCCGACAGTAAGTAGCCATCGCGCAGCGCGAGTCAATCTCGGGGTAATATCAGCGTAGTCTAGCACAGCACGTCTCAGGTTTCGAGCCTCCGAGCGATCTCCACGCGAATTCGCGAAACAGCACAGCTGACAACGCAAATCGGCCGACTCGAATTCGTGGATGAACATTCGAGGAAGCAATCGAGAGCAACGACAGAAGGCACCAGAAGGCCGGCTCTCTCACTCTTTTTCTCTCTCTCTCACTCTGTCACTCTCGCATTACGCGCTCTATCCCTCTCGCTCGAGCTCGTATCTCGCTCGCAGTTCCTCGACTTCTCGTCGCGAGACGTATAATCGGGCACCTCCCTAAGAGGAGGGCGATACATCCATCTGTCTCAGGCTCACCCGAGCGGCGGATTTTCACGCTAGAAAGCGGCCGTCCAGCAGGGCGATACCATTTTATATGACTTTACTTCGACGACGAGGTAAGTTCTCCCTTTTTTTCCGTCAATTTTAATCATTGAGATACGAAGTATTATTGGAATCTTTCAAATCCGCTAATTGTTTTTTTTCTTAGCTCCATAACCTCTCTCTCTCTCTCTCTCTCTTACTGCGTCCTCGTTCGTTCACTTAGGCCCGCTAATTTTAGCGATTCAGCCATTTTGGACGACACGCGGCGTGCGGAGCCGCAACGGCCCCCTCGCCTGCGGAAATGAACGTGTCCCTTCTCCTCCTCGTCTTCTACGGCAATGTAGCGTGCGTGTCGCATGATGCGTCACCGTCCGGAGGAGGAAACGAGCTTTCCCATGCCGGGTCTCGGCTCAACGTGGGTCCGCTCATCGTTTTCTGCTCTGCGCACATTTCCTGCGAATTTATTATTCTCTCTTCCTAAAGTCAAATAGACACGTGTGTAAATAAAAGTGCGAGAAGAAAATATTCAAAACGGATGTACGGAGAAAAGTCGATCGCACGTATGAGAAATGACGTATTTTTAGAGGCGAGCGGATATTTAAATTTTTCGAACTCGGAAAATTGCGAAAATTACGACTTAAACGAAGAGCTTCGATTTTAAACAAGCACATTATAATAATAGTACCATTTTGCATTTTTATCACCTCTGCTATCACCTTGGCTATTTTCCTATTCTGTTGTGCATTCGCTTAAGCCACGCGAAGTTATGAAAAAGTTACGTAAGAGTATGATGTGATAAACAAATTACATATGAAATAATCAATACAGGGATTTAACTGTCATATCGCATTTGAATGTAGATATTTTTTTCGAAGAGTTTTTTATTTTTATAATTAGTAATTGTAATCGCAAATAATGAAAAAATAATACGGATAATATTTGACAGCTGCAAAATTGTGCAGCTGTCAAATGGAAAAATAAGGAAAATCTATCTCAATATATTGTTTGTAATTGGTTCTATTATTGTTAGACATTATCTATTTACGAGAGCGATTATATATATAATGAGATGCACATTTATGATACGTTTTTCTGATGTATATTTATGAGACACATTATTTTATTTTTTCAAATATCGATAATCGAACACGGCGATATTTGTTTTTTAGAAGATAAGGATCCTTGTAAAGATTTACTGAATTGACTTTTTTATAACGGATAATCAATGTTATTGATTATCCGTTTCTTTATCTTCTATGTTTTTAAGTGGAAAATTTCGCGCAAGATAATTCACGTACCCATAAAAAATTAATCTTATCTGAATCTTTTTAATTAATCCATATAATATTCATTTATTCGTATATTCATAAAAGATGAATCTCATATTAATTATCCATATAGTATCGATTGGATCTGTTTTACTTAAAATTGGTATCGTGTATCGTGTGTATACATATGTATTTATTATTTTATATCGTCCGCGCGAGAGAGATGGAGAAAAAGATAAAAAAAAAAGAGGAGGAATGAATATTTTATATTTTATAGCTCGTAATATAGATTTGAAACATTGAACTTGACACATACTTGCTACCAAAAAAAGGAAGGAAGGAGCAATTGCCTCGCATGTCATTTGCATATCACGCAAATAGCAAATTGCTGCGTCATCTAATGATAACTATACATTGAGTATTCAATAACGATCCAATCACGACTCGCGTATTGTTTAAGGCTGATATTACAATGCATATCCGATTTTAATCGGAGTACATTATCTTTTATTTATTAAACGATATTAGATAAAGACAGTATCTATTTAATTAACTCTTGATTTAACAGATCAGTTCTTTTCAGTTTATATTACATGCATATATTGCATTAAAAAATATATATTTTGATTGAATTTGTTTTAGAGTTAAACTCATTCCTTATATACAGGAGGTCTTTTTTGATAGTCGGAATATTTTTCTTGGTACATTTCTAGCGATGACTTTTAATACCTGGAGAAAAGAATTGGTTTATGGTATATTGGAAGAATTTTAAGAGTTTTTCTGATTAAGGCCCCTCGGTTCTCATCACGGTCATGTTAAATTGTGACGTCAAAGGCGAGAAAATACACGTTGAAAATTTTTGCGTGCCATTTTTAGATAAAAAGATATTTTAATGAAACACAATTTTAGATGGTTTTAGCACACTTTTAAAATATTCCGAAAACTATTTTCTTCCCTTGACTGTCATGCAACAATCGTAAAATAATTGAAACATTAGACTTTGTCATGTGGAATGACTGCGCATGTGCAAGGCTATATACGGATCAAGGATCAGGTCTCATAGTCTCATGTCACAGTCATTTTACAGTTGTCGATTGATTATACGGGGGAAAGGTTAAGAATTCAGAATATATTTCAAAAATATATTAAAGTCATCTAATATTGTGTTTCATCAAAATATCTTTTTATCTAAAGATTACACTCAAAACTTTTCAGCATATATTTTCTCGCCTCGACGTCACAATTAAACATGGTCGTGACGAGAACCAAGAAGCCTTAATATTTACAACAATAAAAAGTATTAATATATATATAGTAAAATTAATCAAACATATTTTATATCTTATTGTGATAGATATTAATATTTTATGGTAAATATTAATCAGAGAAATTCTTATAAAATTCTTTCAATACCATACTGTTCCACGATTACTATATGGAATTTTCGCGGGATAAATTCTAAAAAAAAATTACCTTGTGTAGAAATATTCTGAGATACCGGGTGTAAATATGTGGCGCCGCGATTAGATTATACAACGCTGTAAATAGCGTCGATAATCGCAGATAATATATTCTTCCGGCACCATTTTATAGTTCATGTTATTCAACATCATCGTGATCGGCAATTTTGTGCGACAATTTCGCGTTCGAATTGTATTTGTAAATACACGTTTCCATCAGCGATAAACTTTTATCGCAGTGTCGAGCCGTCAGTCCATAAGATCGTTACGGTCATTTTTGTATGTAACAGCAGATAGTTAAAATATAATTTCTTTTCTTATAGATACAGATTTTTCTTATTGTTAGATACAGATATTATATTTCTTCTCTCTGTATCTATATAAGAAAATGTATGTTTTCTATTTTTTTATGTGTGTGTGTGTGAACACAATAATATAATAAACAAAATACACATGATATAGGAATAATGAAAAATTTCTTTACCATCAAAATATACATATATTACGTTTGCTTTTATCAAATTTTGAAAGACACTGGTTTTTTCGGAGTTCTAGAAATATTTCCAGACGATTGCGTCAGGCACCAGGTTTTAAATCTAAATCTTCCTCCTCTTTGTTCATGAGAGAATTACTTACGTTGTTTCTTTTTTTAATTTTTTTTTATTTATCTGGCTTGTAAGATGGCCTGCTACTTTGACCCTTAAATACGATAACGATGCAAAATAATACCTCTTAATCAGTAAGATGCAGTGGTTCTCATGCATAATTTCTCCTACTGCAATTTCTGCAACCCGATCTCTCGAGCGAGCGAATATCTATCACTGCCGCGGTTGAAATTCTCTCTAAAAAAATGGTCGACAATGCGAAATAATTATACGATTACATTATAATGCATCTCGGTTAAAGCGGATAAACTAACGTCGATGAATTTCGCTCTCTTACTTTCTCCGAATCCGATGCGAATCGCGAGCAAGGAGCAAGTATGCCGGAACGGGTTTTGCGATGAGGAAAGTGTTTACCGAAGATCATCCGGGGTCGTTAATTACAGCGTATCAAAACCGACAAAAACAACACTCCTAAACGGAATGTAATTGTTTAAACTGGTTGCTGGAAAATTATACACGATGTAAACTTGCACGCTAACTACTTTCTATCTGGCGAGTAAATTTTTACAGCGTAGAATAACAAATCGAGAATTTCTTTAAGAAAAATTCTCGATTTCAGTTATTCTTTATTGTGAAAATTTACTCGCCAGAGGAAAACGTTCCATTTTAGAAAAGTGTATACCAATAATAGAATTATATAAATATACACTAAAAAAAATTTATTAATTTGACTAAACCTTTCAACTAAATATTATTTTGTTAATTTAAACATATAAAAATATTTAAATTCAGTATAATATACTAAATCTAACAAAACGTAAATACTAATATATGTTCAATTAACAAAATAGTTGTTTAGTTGAAAGGTTTAGTCAAGTTAACAAATTTTTTTCAGTATATTTATAATAGAAAGACTTTAATGTTTTAGACAAAGTTTCTTTACAAAAATTTAAATATATTTGAAATATTCGGAAAACGGAAATGAATATAGGAATAACGTAAATAATGAATTAATGAATTTCTAAGATACTTAAATCGAAATTAACTTCGATAGAATACTTATCGAAGTTAATTATTATAAAAATAAAAGAAAAATTGTGTAATATATTAAAACGATGGAAGAAGAAAAAAAAGAAAAATTTAAACTTTGCCCGTTTAAAGTTTGCAAGATTCGTAATAGTAAGAAATGCAGTAATAGCATTATTGCGTCGCAACGAGACGTAAGATGGAGTAAACGAGTGTTAGAAGTTTTAATTTGATTTCAATTTATCGGTATAATCGTCCATTTTTATTGACGTAGCAGCATCAACGATGCGGAAAACTGGGATAGTCTATTGAAAGTTATTCGCAAAATTTAACTTTGTTTTCCATTTAATTTAAAATTGAAACAACCGTAATATTAGTTTTGCAATATTGTAAAATCGTTATTAAATTATCAAAACGTTCAATTAATATTAAAAACGATTTTATTATATTTTACGGAAAAAATTTTCTCTTAGAATTTACCCTGAAAATTATGATGAATCGTGGGACAATATGGTATTGGATAAATTTTATAAAAGCTTTTCTGATTAATATCTACCATGATAAAAAATATGAATATGTACGTAGTAAAATTAATCGAACATATTCTATATCTTATTGTAGTAGATATTAATATTTTTTTATTTTATACGAGCTTTCCAATTTTGATTTTAATATTTTTTATATACCATATTGTTCCACGATTACCATGATTTTTAGAGTAAATTCTAACAATAAAAAAAACTTCTCTCTGTGTATATATAAATATTATAATATTATTATATCGAATGAAATATTTAATTTATCTGCTACTTCGAGATATATTTGTCACTTAATTTAATCAGAGGGTTGATGTCTAATTAAACATAGAATTGTACAAGAAACGGCATAAACAGATCCCCAAACCACGTGACCTCGACGCGACCTGGACCTGGGTCAATCTATCCCTCCCGACCTATCCCACTACATTTATTCCTAGATCTTCCCACGATATTTGATTGATACACACCGGTCGAGTTACTGTTAATCGCGAAATTTCATTTCTCTCTCTATCTCATTATACATATATATATTACAGCTAAAAACTTTCGAGATCATAATTTAACATTAATTTAAAATTCTGTCGAGATTAAAATGTAATACAAAATACGATGAAATCTCTGAATAATTAATTGGATTTATTTTACATAATTTGAAGATTAAATTTTAATCTCACGAATACACGAGAATTACATACAACAATCGATCGACGCGTCTATACATATAGTTATATTAGCAAAGATTTGTCGCGATTGGCGAACCGCTCGAGCTACGTGCCGGTTAGCTACTCGAGAGTGGAGTAGAGTGACCTTGTCCGAAGGCTGCTCTCTCTCCGTAGAAGAGACGACGTCGGCGTCCGGATCGGCGTCAGCGCCCGGATCAATATTCACGGTGGACGTCGAGAACGCCTGCGCGCCGCGGGGATAGGCCGATCCGGGTCCCGAGAGCTGTCAGACCACGAAGAGACCGACGAGTGACTCTATACTCTAGTTGCGCGCTAGCGAGAGGCCGACCTCCTCTTCGACTTCGACTCCCGAGAGCTCTGCACTATCCTTTTGCGCGAGAATCGATTCGCCTTCTCTGCCTCTCTCGCTCTCTTTCTCTCTCTCTCTTTCTATCTCTATCTCTCGACAACGCGACGGATCTGCTCCACTTTTTTTTCCCCATTTCTGCCCATCTGTCCGCCTACGGGTCTTCACATCCCTCTTCCTCCACGTCGTCGTTGTTCCTCTCTGCTCTTCGAGAGTGCCGTTGGAGAAGAAATCTGGGTACACCTGGTGATCAACGACAGCGACCGCGGAAGACGCGTCAACGTCGCAAATCACGACTTATGCGTCTGTACCGAGCAGGTAAACCCACTCCGTTTCCGGTACACGCGATCCCTTCGGGAGGTCGTCCCCGAACAGTCGCAGTCCCGCGTGGATTTTGTGGTGCGCGGAGATTTGATCTTGGATTGCGTCGAGTTTCCGACCTAGGTGTCATTTCGCTCGTCGTTCTCTCCAACTTTGCATTCATTCAATTGTTTCTTAAGGGCGAGACTTAGGAAAATATGCTATCCGAATTAGAGGACGAGATACAGTTTGCAACTGTGATTATTCCGCTTTAAGACTTATAGTCCTCGCCTAAGTGTGTCTCCTATAAGGTATATCTTAACAGTAATCGAAAGCACCGCTTATAGCGCGATAAATGGAGCGCGAGAATCAATATTAATAATGCATATGGTTATTATAAACAACTGCACCGGCTGCGATTGGTCATGGAATTGCAAACTATTTGCGTACTGTTGTATACTATATAATGGTGCACTTGCAGAAACGCGAGACTATATACGCATTGCGTTCTCAGGTATCTCCAACGCTAAATCGATAGGATATCCTACGGGATGTCTCATTCTTATCGGGAGGGATATCAATGTCATTATTTGTGACAATCACAAACTCTCATATATATCCATTTGCGATCGATTTTTTTTTTTTTTTTTTTTAAACATTTGTCCTTGAAAAATTTATCTGTACATTGTCGTATCAAATAATCTAGGATAAGATAATATCAATCAAGCATTTATTGACAGTGCTAAATTATTTACCGTTTTAATTTTTTTTCTTTTAATTGAATTAAAATAATATGCAAATAAATCCGGCTATATATTTTTTCTGGCAACAGCTTTACATGTGTATATCTTCATTTATTATTACAACGCCACTTCCGTTCAATTTTCCTTCAAGCGAATCTTCATTTATTGCGATTGCATTTGTTCGACTATCGAGAGAGATCAAATCAGCTCGTCGTGATTTAGCTTCCGCGATCTTCAAGAAGGACATCAAGTCCGTTCGCGACTTTCGTTATCATGATCCTAATACGGCCCGTTCCGCACGAAAATTATCCGGATGATCGTTAGCAGCACAACCAGATGAAACTTACACCGGTCCGATGATCATCTGGTGCCTGAAAAATTCCCCTAAATGTCAGTCACATGGTCCTGTACATCCCGTGAACGCTTTTAGCAGATTGAACTCGCATGGATAAAAGCAATTTGCAAGATTTTCTGTCTTACTGTGTGTCCAGAATTTATCCTCTGATCTTGCGTTTGAAATGAATCCGATAAAATTAAGGCCAGAGATCAATAGAAGGCAAGATAGTCGATAAAAATAAATATTTTAATTGTACGTGTTGTATAATTTGATTAGCTTCGTTAAAAAACTAAATAGTTCTTTAAACAATTCAAATATTTTACTTTCAGATTCTAAATGATTCTTTCCTTACATAAATTAAAATTTAAAATACATGTGATTAAATATTTTATTATATATATATATATATATTAAAATAAAATTTTATAAATAATATTCTGCATTTTTCTTCATTGTGAAAATAAAATCTTATTGCGGCAGATATTAATCAAAGAAATTCTTATAAAATTCTTCCAATACCATACTATCCTATACGATTACCATGATTTTCAGGATAAATTCCAAGAGAAAATTTTCTGTATGTAGAAATCCCTTTCTACATACATTATCTCTAATTTATAAAAATCATGCTCTCTAATAAACTGATCAAGATAGTAATTTTCTTCTTCTTTGCAGAAACATCCAGGATATCATCCAGAGGGAAAGGATCGGCGTGTAGCAAAGGCGGCGGCGACAGTAGGACACTATCATCCGACCGGAGATCATCAAACGGCAACACCATCACCACCCACGTTCGTTGGTTTTCGCGCGAGTTAACCAGCGAGTTAACATCAACATCACTACCGACCTGGTACCACCGATTACCGGGCTTTCTTAGGGCGACGAGCAACGGACACGCAGCGTGTATGATCATTGAAGACTATCCCCTACCCCACCCGCCACCGCCAAACCGAGGCAATACTCGAGGCATCAAGATACCACCCAACGATTCCTAAACCTCCACCTGGTCCTGCCCAAGCACAGGACCTCAAAATTTTCCAGGTTTGTAGTCGTCAATTTTTTAATGGGTTCTTAAACGAGGTTTTTTAAGACTAAATAAGATGAGATTTAGATAAGCTAAATAAACTAAAATAAGTTTTCTTGCAGTAATAGGCATCGGAAGTTACAGCCATTCAGAGAAACGTGACTGGCGTCAGCGGGTAGCGGCGCGGCACGCCTTACCGCTAACAAGGATTACAACCCTGAAAACAGGCAGAACCACCCTGACTCGACACGCTGCTGTTACGAGCGAGCACATACAGGCGGCAGCTGTTGCCTACCATTGGCCACTGCCGGCTATCAAACTGCCGCTGGCTGGAAACGTGCGACAGAGACGATCTAGACGAACGAGGACGAAAACATTACCTACTTGAAAGGAAAAAAGCGAATAGCGAGTCCAACATCACTGCTTGAGAGTTGATTTTTTCGTCGCGATTTGTTAACATTTTCACAACGACGTCTCGTCGGAGATTACTATCAATCGGAGAAGTTAAGTTTGTCAAGAGCAAGAGAAGGCGGAAACAACGGTCATCATGGGAAGCGTAAATGTCAATCGCAATGTCAGCGATGCCTTCTATCGCTATAAAATGCCGCGGATTCAGGCCAAGGTGGAGGGTAAAGGAAACGGTATCAAGACAGTGATCGTCAATATGGTGGACGTAGCCAAGGCGATCGGCCGTCCGGCCACTTATCCGACCAAGTACTTCGGTTGCGAGCTGGGTGCGCAGACCCAGTTTGATTTCAAGAACGAGCGTTTTATCGTCAACGGCTCGCACGATGCCACGAAACTGCAAGATTTGCTCGATGGTTTTATTCGGAAATATGTTCTATGTCCAGCTTGTGACAATCCGGAAACTGAGCTGATGGTCAGTTCGAAGAAGGGTACGATCTCACAAGGCTGCAAAGCCTGTGGTCATCACGGTCTTCTAGAGAGTAACCACAAGCTGAACACCTACATATTGAAGAATCCGCCGAGTCTGAATCCAGCGGTGCAGGGCAGTTCATTGACGGAGGGCAAACGCGGCAAACGTTCGAAACGTGCCAATGGTGACACCGCGGCTGCATCCGCAACCGTTGCTGCCACTACCAATGGCAACGATCGATCTTGCTCGCCGGAAAATGAAGTCAACAACTCCGGAGATATCGTGGTGGAGCCTCCGCCGGAAAGAAAGATCACCAACAATGAGGATGACGATAAATGGGCGGTCGATGTGTCCGAAGAAGCGGTCAGAGCTCGTCTCCAGGATCTGACGGAAGGCGCAAAGGGCATGACTATCAGCGATGATCTCGAAAAGAGTGAGAAAGAGCGCATGGATATGTTCTACAAACTGGTCAAGTGCCGCCGCGATGCCGGTCAGCTCGACAATAATCACAAAGAGCTCGTAGCCGAGGCCGAACGTCTCGAAATCAAGACCAAGGCACCATTGATCCTCGCTGAATTGTTATTCGATCAAGGAATCGCCGCACAGGCAAAGAAGTATCGCGTACTGTTGCTGCGTTTTACCCATGATGACATCAAGGCGCAGAAATATTTGATCAGAGGTATTGAACAGGTCATTGCGCTGCATAAGGATGCCCTGATGCCAAAGGTTCCTGGAATTCTTAAGGTAAAAGAATCACGACTTTGGAATTTATTTACCTTTTAGATTCAATTTTAATTTTTTTATGATTCTATTTATTAAAATATGATCTTTCTTCACTTTTTCTATTTTAAAAATATGTACTTTGCATTTCTTTGAACACTTTTTACATCTCATATTTCTTTGAAAGATCCGTATGAAATTATTTTATAATTATTAAATTAATAAAAGTATTTGCATCTATTTCAGTTATTTTACGACGCTGATATCCTGGAGGAAAAAGCATTTGACGAATGGTCGAGCAAAGTCAGTAAAAAATACGTCTCGAAGGATTTGTCACAAGAGATTCACGATCGGGCCGCACCATTTCTAACATGGTTAAAAGTTGCAGAGGAAGAAGAGTCTGAGTCCGAGGAAGAAGATGACGATTTAGAAGTAAGTATTTCGCTACAGTGTTACCAATCAAATACCAATTCTTCAAAATTAATTTAATTTTGCTCTAATTTTAATTCTGGAATTTTCTTTTCTATTAAATTGACAAGTCTAGCTTATATCTTTATTTTGTTCTGTTCTGCGATAATTAAATCAATTAGAATTGTTCAACGTGATTTAAGGAATCAATATATCTTTCTTTCCAAGAGTTATTTTTCTATTTGGATTTCACGCTTTAATTTTTCAAGAATTATTTTTTTCTTTTGTTTCTATATTATTTATATTCCATATATTATATTGTGACACGTTACGTAATTTATAGTATGTTACATAATTTTGTAACATAACTTTTTAATGTTTCACACTTTTCTCTTTTAGATTGAATACGATGATAGAGCCAAACAAGAATCCCTGAAACAGCAGCAACCGACAACTGTGCCGAAACCTGCCACCGCTGCCACCGCCGCCGTGAAAGATGATTCTGATGAGGAAGACTTCGATATTGATGCCATTTAAAGCACACATAGGCACACATAATACAACACACATACATACACACAAACGCGCAACTGATGATGAAAAATACTGATGCGATACGTAATACAAAACGAATAATCATTTTTCTCTCAAAAAGAGCTATGCAAATGCAATCTCAAGTTATGTGCAAATAAATATAAGGTTTTTTGTTGTTTTAGACCGACAAGATCAATAATTAATACACAATGCCGTTTACATGTTAATGAAAAAAAAAAAAAAAGAAATTTTAATTGTTCCCAAGCGTTTAGTATGATTTATCTCTCTCTGTGTACAGTGTGTATCCATAATATTTTTAATTGTTTTAACGATACGGTAAATGCGCGTTTAACGAAAATATTATTTCTATATTATTGATTGTTATCATGTTTTTTTAATGGGTACTATGATGCGCTTATCTTGAAATATGTTCTCTGCATTCGTTTCAGATAAAAAAAAAAAAAAAAATAGAAAACATAGAATTCACGAGCATTGCTGGGAAATTGGCCTGCTAAAAGTGTTCTTTATTGTATCTATTTACTATTCTATTATTATTATTATTATTATTATTATTATTCAAATAAATATGGTTTATTGCAATAAATCCTACTTATTTTTTTATTTCTCGCAACACACAAAGAATATAAGATTATGTTCTAATTGTACATTAATATGATTTTGATAATTAGTAATAAAAGGTAATAATAAAGGATTAGGAATAATCCATTCGAGAGCGACAATTTTAATTTATAAATTCATATTTTACGCGTTAAAAATATACAATAGTGTAAAGTTTTAGTAAAATTAAAGCTCTTTCAGTATTATCTACAATTTAAAATAGAATTAAATATTTCGTTTTTTTTTAAGTCAATATTATATTCTACCCTTATGGAAATTTATCACTAGTAAGTCCAAATAATCACTTATTCCGAGTTTTTAAATTACTGTACATCAGTAATTTAAGTACTCGAAATAAATGATTTGGACTTATTAGTGATAAATTTCCGTAAGAATGTATTTTAATATTTATTAATAGTTTTTCATTTACAATATTTATGATAAATACGAATATTGCAACACAGACGTATTCAAATTAATATACGAATTTTATTCGAACTATGTTCGCAAATATATATCAAGATTATATAAAAAAAAAATAGATTTTTTTTTTATTTGGTTGCGTTCAAAAATCCGTTCGTCAAAGTGCAGAATTTGACCGACCAATCGGAGACCGAGGATCCCTGTGTCCTGATTGGTCAATCGAGCGTTTCACCCTCGATGAACGTATTTTCGAACACAATCTAGAATGCTGCTGGCTGCTGCCCTCTGCTGCACTTTCGCATTGTTTGTGGCGAACGTTTGCGCGGTCCTCGCCGGTCCATGAAAATACCAGTATATATATGTTAATTAGTGTGAGTATACATTAATTAGTGCCTTACGTTGATTAATTATCATATAAATCTGATCGCGCCGCGTGTCCCGACATCGTATTCGCATCGTGCACGCGCGAGATTAATAACCTTGTCGGCCGCGAATCTCGCTCAATTTCGCTTCGTCCCACGCATACTTCGCGTGACGTCACAGCTCCGACTCGAGCGGCCGAAAATTCGCGCGCGCGAGTTCACGAAGGCGGATCACGAGAATTATCGGCTCTGTTTGCGACGCAAATTTCCGGAGTTTTTCGACATTGTCGATCGTATTCTAAGTGGACGAGCGCGCATTTCCGGTCGTACTTCCGCGTCATCGTGTCGACGTATCCTTTCACGAGAAAAAAAGCTCGTAATTATTTTCATTAAAATCGCAGGTCGACAAAAAGATCGCGCCGCCATATTGTTATTGTTATTTTTTAATATCGTACGTTGCTCTTTTTTCCTCGTGAATCGTCGAGTCGGAAATATTTGGATTATATTTGTATTATCGAAATACGCGACGAATCGCGAGTATGCTATACACGGTGTTCGGGAATATCGGCGACTTCCAAGTGCGTCGTTTTATTCGCGAATAAGCTTTCGCGTTTCTCGTGTTTTACCGAAACTCGTCGAAGTTTATGATAATTAAAACACGGGCGTCGTTAATGAAAAAAAGTAAAGCGAGTGCAAGTGTGTTTCGAAGCTTCTACGAGAGGAGGAGGAGGCTCAGGATGGCATCGGGTAACGTCAAACCAAATATATGGTGAATAATTTATTTATTATTTTATATATATATATATATATTATTTATTATATTATTATTATTATTTATTTTATTATATTGTAATTTATATATTATCATAATTTTAGTTTTTGATATATTAATTTTATTTTAAATTTTACTATATTAATTTTCATGTATTTATATATATTTTACAGTTTACAACTTCACTGCTGCGAATCGTATCGGTGAGTCTCATCAATTTTTCTGTAAATTTTGAATAATAATTTTGTGAAAATTATGTATGAAAGAGAGATGTGTATCGCAAACAATATTGAGATGGTAAGTCTTGAAGAAAAATGAAGAAATAATATTTATAGAGGCAAAATGCATGAAATTCATTTTTTATTTAACACACGCTCTTGCACAGAAAAAATTAACTATCATAACTAACTACACAAGAAAGAATTTTGTCTTAGAATTTATCCTGATAATATCCGAAAATTCCATAGTAATCGTATGGCACAATATGATATTGGAATAATTTTGTAAAAGTTTCTCTAATTAATATTTATTAAAAATATTAATATCTACCACAATAAAGATATATAACATATTTGATTAAAAACTTATGATTCTTTAAAGGTTTTGAAGAGGTACCAAAAAAGTGATTTTACAATGCAGCTTAACATTTTTAATCTAATTTAATTATTCATGATAATTTTAACATGCAGCATGGTAATTTTTGTATTATTAAACATGATAAAATTAGTGAATTTTGCTGTAAAATATAATGAAAAGTTCTCTCCGTGTATATTACACATCAAATTTAGTTATTATGGCTAAATTTTTAGATATGATAGCTAATGTTTTTTAGCTATAGAATTCTTCATTTAATTATAACTAGAAAATATTAATTCAGTATTATCAGTAAGAATATTGATACTTAAATTTTTTAAATTTATTTACCTTTATTTAGATATAATTTTTTAATAGTATATGATTTTTGTATATTGTTGCTGCAATTTGTAGATTAATGTTTTTGTGAAACGATGTTAATATAAAATTTATGCTTAAAAAGTGAACAGCGTATTGAAATTGGCAAAGAGTTTGATGTTTTTGTACATATTTGCAAGTACCGAAATCTCTTCTATATTGGTCCAGATTTTTACATGCCACTACTTGTATAAAATTAAAGTTTGTTTTTTAAATGTACTTAAAATAAAATAGAAATACATATACTTTATAAATGTGAAGCAAAGAGAAAGAAGACGATACGTAAAATAAGAAATGCACAAGCAAATAAAATATTCTGACATATTGGATTTAAACTATTGTAGTTTAAATCCCTCATCGACCTTGGAATAAAATATTCTTTCGTTAGAATCTTTTGTTAATTCCTGTTCGCAATTTCATAAAACACGCAAATAATAATTTTATTAAATGTAAATGTTGCAAAATGTTATAAAACCTTGCATGGCCATAGAATCACAAAGTTCCCGCATAAAATGATGCCATTGTGATTCCGATTAGAGTTCCTAGTAATGTAAAGGATTTTTAGGACTTCTAGAAACTTTAAATCCGATTTCATAATAGAGACCTCGCGCGAATAATACAAACTCCGGTTTCACCAGAGTTACCAACACTAAGAAATAAATTCTCAATTCGTTCAAAACTAGCTGGAATTCTCTATACGTTTATTAGTTTTCATTCAAATTTTTTTCAGAAAATTACTTTACCAAAACTTGCAGACAATTCTTAAAAATTACAAATATTACGATTTTAATTATTCCGTTTTTTGGTTGTTATATAAAGTATGAGCAAATTCGTATTCACAGCTGATCAATAGAGGTCTCCACAATGTCTCCTGTCGAGTTTTAAGCGCGAACAACTGTTGTTCAGTTGTGGTATTTGAGCGCGGCGATGAATCGTGTGTTGGTGGTTTTGTGGAATTGCGATAGATTAAAAACCGCATCGATTGTGCGTTTATCACGGTCAGTTCAGGACGATGGTCGGATATTAATTTTCGCATCCGAATTTACATCCATTTCAATGTGATCGGAATATTGAGAATTACGAAGGATCCTTTCAATGGTGGTTAAGGTAGATATATGTTGTTTTCTTTTCATTTCATAAATTGATATTTTGATGTTTGGCAAATATTGCTCGCGCGATTAAACGTAATCCGCATATAGTCAAATCCACTCTATTCTAGTAGATACATGTATGACTTTATTCAATTGCCTCTGTATTAAAGTCATGAAAAAACAAGTTTGGAAAAATTTCCATCTGTTTTATTTTATAAATGCACATATAAGTAATATAGGGATCATTTTAATAGAAATAAATTTGGGAAAATGTAATAAAAGACAAAAATATATATATTATTTAAATGTCATGTATACATCATATCTGCATGAGAAAACATTTCGTATATCTAGATTTATATTTTAATTTTATGAAAATTAATGTTGCATTTTTTTTTCGATACAATCACGGTATGAAAGAAGCGGAATTGATGAATGTGCTATATGTAGATGGATATTCTGAATTTCATCCGTCTCGATTTACGGCGATACTTATTAACCGGATCTATATTGCTGATTATATTCCGTTAATGAAATTGATATTCAAACTGATAACATTGATTGCAAAAGCTATGATAAACAACATATTATTATTGAACAATATATATTATATTATATATACGCATATACTTAAGTAACAAAGAAGGGGTTAAAAAATTCCCCTCCATTTTTAATAAACTTTGAAATATGTTGTCTATTGTAATTCAAAATAAGAAACATTTTTTTATATATGCTGATGTCGTTAAGCGAAGCACCTCTTTGAACAAATCGGTTTTTTTCTAAGTGAATTTTGTCGAAACAATAAAAGATATAGAAAAAATGTTTGAAATAAGATTTTTTATAGTGTATTTTTAATTTACTTGATAATAACGTAATTAGATTTTTAAATGTAATATTTTTCGAAATTTCTCTCCCTCATAATTTTTGAAAATTTTACAATTTTACCTTAAAACAAAAGTTAAAGCATATTTCACGTTAAATTCAATTACATATATAATAAAATTGTTAATAAAATTGTTCAATCATATATAATAAAATTCAATTATATATAATAAAATTGTATTCCGTGATAACATTTTTCAAAAATGAGCTAAAAATATCTATATATATATATCCGTTTCATACTATTCGTTACTTATACAATTTCTTCTTATGTGATCGCAAAGAAAATTATGAATTTTTAATAAATAATTAAATTAATAAATAACTTAAACATTACAATTTATATATTTATATTTACTAAACTTTATAATAATTTATAAAATTATTTAATAATTTATATTAAATAATTTACAGATTACAATTTTTTATATTATATTTATATATTATATTATATTAATTATGATAGTAATAAATAATTTACATATGAAAACAATTATATGTTCTTATAATGATGAGTAAGGAAAAATCTCTTTGATGAGATATCAATAGATTAATGAATACAATATAATACGGTGCAATAAATATAAATGAACGAAATGTGCTTATGTAATCGCATTGCACAATTTGAAAAAATGACATGAATGCAATTGTATTTAGAACTGCGCGTAACATAATTCCTACGCATTATTGTAAACGCATTCATCATTGTGTATGAAAAGTTCAGTATACATAATAAATTATTTCTTACTAAACCGTAATTATACTAATAAAATGAAATCATATACTGAATTTTAATTTTCATTCATAACGATGAATGCTTTTATAATAATTCATGTGTGTTATATTGTACGTAGTTATAAATACAATTATATTGTTACATCCATGTCATCTTTTCAATTTTGCGATTACAGAATATCTTTCTTTGTTTATTTGCCATATCATTGTATCTATTAATCTATATTGATATCTCTCATCAAATAGATTTTTTCTTGTTCGGCTAATTCTATTTTTAACACATAAGAATGTATCTTTTCACATGTGTAAATTATTTATTTGCCATTATAATTATATTATAAATATATAAATATATAAAATGTAAATTATTAAATATAAATTATTATTATTATGATATAAATTATTATTATGCATTTAATTAATAAATATGAATACGTATATGTGTTTTATGTTATCTGTTAATTTAATTATTTATTAATAATGCATGATTATCTTTGTAATATTAAGAAGAAAAAATTTTCGTCATAAGTATAGCAAACGCTGTATAAAACGAATATATTGATAAAATGCAAATAAAGATATTTCTAGTTTATTTTTAAACTATGCGATTTTGGAATACGCCTTTATTATTGATTAAATTTGGCGTGAAATATATTTTAAGTTTTGACAAAAGGTAAATTTCAAAAATTATAACAAGGGAAGAAAAATTTCGAAAAATGTAATTATACATTGTTATAAAGTATATTAAAAACCATAAAACTTTAATATAAAAATATAAACATTTTTATATCTTTTACCGTTTCGATGGTATTCACTCAAAACTATATAAAAATTGTTATTTTTTTTTAAGAAATGTTTTACTCTTTTAACAGTAACGTTAACACAAATATAAAAAAAGTATCTTTTATTTTGATCTACAACTTATTCAAGGTTCATAAAAATCGGAAAGAGAAAATTTACTCCATTTCCTTGTAAGTTATATTGTTAAAAAAATGCGTTAGACTTTATTTCAAATAATAACGATCAATACAAATTTAATATACATTTGATAATGTACCTATGTGAAATATCGCTTACTGCAAATTTTTTAATTTAATTTAAAAATGTATAAAATATCGAATATTAAAATATTAATAATTAATTAAATTATTTAATAAAAACGTAGATATTTGAGAATCGCCAGACAGAATTTAAAAAAGTAAAATTCTTTTCTCGACCGTACTAGCAAATATTATTTATTAAATCACAACGTTTCGACCCTTCTTTGAGTCCTTATCAAGCGATTTGTGAAAATAAAAATAAAATTATAATTTTCTTTTTATTTTCACAAATCACTTGATTGGGTCGAAACGTTGTAATTTAATAAATAATATTTGCCAGTACGGTCGAGAGAAGAGTTTTACTTTTTTAAATTATTCAATATCTTTTATTGGTACTGGATAATACAAAATCAAATTAAAATTTTTCGAAATAGTTAAAATATATATATATCTATGTATGTATATATGTATATATATATTTATATATTGATTATATTTGATAAA